TGTTGTGCGAATTCTATCTTCCTCTGAAGACAATGATGGCTTTCTCACAGCTTCAATGGCTGGTGATCTTCAATCTGCCAAAAGGAAGACTCCTACTCCTCCTCTATCTCCTGCTCAACCTCAACCTCAAATCAATGGCACACCTCAGCAAAAGCCTCCAAAAGAAGTCCTCATCCCTTTCCAAGAGTTTGTGGAATCAGCTGAAGAATTTGGAGACCAAATGATTGCTGGGCTCAACAAAATGCTTGTACTGAATCAGAAGCATGATGCTCATCTTGATTTGGTTCAGTACAACATTGAGTCAGAACTTGCCAAGATCTCCACAAACCTTTCTACCTTGGTAACTACCTTCCTAAGCTTCATGAAAACTTCAAATGAAAAGGTAGACAACATTGCATCAGAAGTAGCCAGTGTACACACTGTCCTCTACTCTCAATCTCTGACCCTCTCTGCTCAAGACAAGGCTATTCAGGAGCTGTCTGATGCTGTGGATGATCTACAATGGTCATCTGACAAGCATGCTGAACACCTGACAGATGTAGAAGACCTCTGCAAGACAAACAAAGAGTTTGGTCTAAAGTTGATCAACTCTGGCAAGGAAAGAGATCACAAGCTAACTCTTCTTGAGGCTACAACCAAAGATATTCAATCAGCTGTGGGCAAACAGAAAGAGCTGATAGAAGGTCTGGCCTCTGTGACTCAGACACTCCCAGGTGCCCTCGAAGCGATCAAAGAGAGCAATGCTACAGAATTCTCGAAAATTGGACTCCTACTTGGTGATCTTGTTGATGCCAAAAAGGGGGAAGAAATCAGAGAACCTGCTAGAGCCATCAGAGCTGCAGAAGGAACTAGCACCAGAGCTGTTGATCCTGCTGAATACTTTGAAAGGGCAAGGCAAAAGAGGATTGCTGCTGGTACTCAGAGACCAACTCCTCCAAGATCAAAGAAAGGAAAGAAGTCAGCCTCCACTTTCACTCTTGCTCAATGGCTTAAAAGTGATCTAGCTAAACCTGATGCTGCTCAATTTCAAGAAATGAAGAAGCACATGACACCTCTCCAACAGGAAAATCTTATTCTGGACAGAGATGGGACGATAATCATAAATCATGGTGGCTGATAGGCCCGTTCCGTTCCTATCTTTTCACCCATATTTTGGGTGTTAATTGTCTAATTTTTATAATTAATCGGGTGACTATTGGGGGTTTGATTGAAAATTTGTTATTTTTCGGTCCCGGTGGCATTCATTTTCAGTTTAGTAGTTTTCCACACAATTTGACATTTTTGGAGTAATTTGATTGTTAAATTGCATGTTATTAGCGAGTATAGTGAGTTGTGACTTTACAGACTGAAGTTTGCGGTGAATAACACATTTTTGTTAGTGCAAATTACCCGCATAGTCTCTTAATGGGTGCAAAATATCATTTATGGCCCAGCCGGCCCTTCTTTTCATTTTTAACTTTTCTTTTTTCATTAATGGTTTTTTATTTCACTTTTCCCAACCTCCATCTGCGCATACTTCCGTCTCCCTTCTACTTCATTAACATTGCTTTGAATAAACATCGTTCCATACAGAGGCTCAAGGCCGACTTGGCAAGGGAAGAAGCTCTCATTGGGAACCTAATCTGAGCGATTGGAGGACAATCGGGACATGCCGTTGGCGCAGAGTCTGGCATAAGCGATGGAGTTCTCAACATCGCGACAGGGATACTCCATGTTTGTGCAATCCAGCTCTCAATCGCTTGTTTGACCTTTCATCTGACACCGTCCAGCTAATGGCGGCCAGTTTTGCGAATATGCTCAAGGCCGGTACTCAGGACGGAGTTTGACATCAGGATTCACGGTTCTGGAATTCAAAGGGATGCAACTCCAGGTTTACATTTTAGGTTTCTAGTTTTTTTTTTTTGTTTCCTACTTTATGATATTTTTAGCATTAGTTAGTGTTCTTCATTAGACTGATAATTTGTTTAGAGAATCTGCAAATCTCTTTGTTTAATCTATGAAGCAAATAGGGGTGATTATTCACATAGACATGTCAATTGTGAGCTCATCTTTTGCTTCCTAGTTCAGCTTTTATTAGATTTGATTAGTTTATTTCATTTTTTCAATCAAAATTCAGAAAACCTGGAATGTATGGTTAATTTATATTTAATCCTTGCTTCAGTTTAACCCTGCAACAAATTTATTACTTCGTAACATGTATTTCACCCCCTCTATATCAGAGATGTTTTTCTAAACATCATTCAGTTCATAATTTTCTGAAAATGTCAATATATATGCTTTAAATTTCATCAATCATAATGGAAACCTTACTATTTTAATAAGATCATATTCCATTTTTGCAAAATCCGTAGAAAATCTTGTCATATGTTCCCTTGGATGACAGAATTAACACAAACAGACTTGGTGGTCATGGCTCGGATTGAGGACTAAACGAACTCCAGTCTTCACCAAATTTTAGTATGTTGTTCCTGCAGTAGACCTTCTCATATCCTATTGTCAAATTCCTGTTTTGATCTTCTGATCTTTAGAAGTGTGTTACTGCCCTGTTTAGTATGAAAAGTGTTCCTCACCACTTTCTTTGAAGTTCTCTTGAATTTTCATCATCTAGGTGCCTCGTAGTTCATGTATATGACTCTTGATGATTATATTGATGAATTGATTACGCAGTCTTTTTTCGTTCTTGATGATCTCTAAGAATAGATCTCAACTTCTCAAGTCTTGCAAAATCATTTCACTTGCAATTTAAATTAAAATTTATTACATTCCAAAGTTAGGCATGCATTGGATGTATAGAATAAGAGTAGCTTGCAGCTTTGAATTCCTTCCTATTCAATCCCTCATATTGTAATAAATAAAGAGGGTATCCAAGAAAAGAAATATTCTCATCATTTATTATCCTTATACTCTCTTGCCTTCATATCTAATTTTTTGTTTCTATGTGGAGCCAGGAGCTCCTTGAAAGGCAGTAACTTAACAACTGGAGAACTGGTGCTTTCTTTGAGATGGATGAGCTGAGCAAATCAATCGGTCACATTTTTTTAACAAAGAGGCAAGTAAATCATATACATCATATTTGTGCTCTAAGATACATAAAACTATGTGACCTTTTGTTCTTTCTTCCAATACAGCTTTATGAACGATATATGAGCAAATGATTTTACAATTTGTTTTTGAATTCAGATTGCTAGTGGATTTATTTTGAAAAATACGTCATCTCGGGTGTTCTTTTGATTATCTTTGAGTGGTGTCCGGATGCACTTGTTTAGGTATAAATAAATCAGATAAACAGATATTTTTTGTGTCATGATCCCCATGCTTCTTTTCATAATAATGTAAAATTGTGGTGTTCATTGATCAAGTCTTCATTGATGTAAAACTGTGGTGTTCATATAAAAAAAGTCCTTTTCATTTATTTGGTTGTTTTATATGATTCCTTGTAATAATCGATTATGGAATTGTGTCATAGTGATTGTATTCTCATTGCAGGTGTATAAATGAAAAGGCACATGAAGAAGAAGATGATGATGATAAGATTGAAAGTTTCATCCTGGAGAATGAATACATGACTTACATTTGATGAACTGTGTGTTGATCAAGATACATATAAAGATGAAAGAATGATATATAGGAACAAAGCCAAATAATAAAATAGTCTAACAGATATGTAATAAATTCAAATAATAGCTTGAACTATATATTTGTTGTGATACTCATATACATTACTTTTTGTTGCTTTTTGTTGCATCATGTTACTTTTTGTTGTATCGTGTTGCCTTTTGTTGTATCGTGTTATTTTTTGTTATATCGTATTGTTTATTGTTATTTTTGTTGACATTGTTTCTTAGTTTATATTTATCTTTGTTACTTCTTTGGAATAAATATATAACTATATATACAAACACCTAAAATGAAAATTTTGGATTTATAATTATCAGCAACAAGAAGAAACATGAAGAAACAGTAAAAAACAAAAAAATCAAAAGTATCAACAAAAAGAAACACAAAGAAACAAAAAAATTAATAATAATATTTTTTTACTATTTCCAAAAATATTACAAAATTTATATTATTTAATACTTGTTTAGTTTTTACAAACTTTTGGTATTTTATTTATCCAAAATTTCAAATTTTAATTCAGAAAATGTAAATTTATTATTTTTCGACATTACCTTAAACTGTCAATATTTTAATATATTTTTGAAAATTTATAGGGGTTTTTATATGTGTTTATGCTTAATTATATAATTATCCTCATTTTATATTTTTTTTATTATGTATTTTATGTATTTATATTCTTTTACTAGCATATTTAGAATTTTTCTTAATTTTTTTGGTCTCTTAAAAAGTTTATACTATTTTTATCTGTTTTTTAGATATTTAAATGTATACAGTTTATAAGTCTTTAGTTTATTTTTTATAGTTTGTGAGTTTTAGTAAAGTTTACTCTTTTATTATCAGTTTCAACAATTTTTCATATTTTTAATAGTTTCAAAGCATTTTATCTTACTTTATATATTTATTTTTGAATTTTAGTTTTTTAGTGTATAAGATTTCTTGTAATTTTTTTCGTTTTATATATTTTAGTTCACATATTTTAAAATTTTAATTAACATTTAACTATGAGTCTATGATAGTTTCATAGTTTTTGCATATATATAATTCTGAATATTTTTTTACGATTTTTATTAGTCTTCTAATTTCCAGAATTTATAAATGTGCTTTAATTATTTGTGTTTTTTTTTTTGAAGATTAAATATTTGTGTTATTAATATATTTGTATTGTACGAAGTATGATTTTTCTATTTTTTGAATTTGAAAGTGCTATCATAAGCCAACGGCCAACCGTTGCAGGCTTGCACCGTTTCCTCCAATTAACATGGGTTACTGTTCATGGTCTATTAGTGAAAAGAAATCCGTGTGTAGTCTACTTTTGAAAGAAAATCTGAAACACGAAAAAAGTGATATTAATTTGGTTTTTTGTCTGCTTGCGAAAAATCCCCTTTTTGTTAAGGCCCGACAATGAGAGGACTTTTGCTAAATATTGGGCTCAACCCAAATGAAAAAAGGGACAGCAGCACCAACTAGCAGCCCAAAAAGAGAAAAAGATGAGCTGAGTTTTAATCCCGAGAAAAGGAGCCGCAGGAGCAACTTCTATTCCATTCATTCTCCTTATCTTCACAAAAACGCAACAGTTAGAAGACCAAGCACCTGCAATTTTTCTTTTCTGTTCATTTAGCAACAAGCAGTAGGTAGAAATTTTTCCTTTCGTTTCTGGTCAATTAGCCGCAGCAAGCCTCAAGAATCTGGGAGGGCTCTAAACTTCACTTTTCTTTCAATTGCTTCCCTTCTAATTTAGATTTTGAGCAAGTATTGTAAGTTTACTCATCATTTACATCATTAGTTCTTGAATTTGGATTGAATTTCGAATATGTTTGTCTCCAAGTAGTAATTTCAGATTTTCCATTAAGTACTCATAATCCAGTTTTTATCTAGCTCCTTATCATGCTAATCAATATTATTGTGATGTTAATTTTAATTATGAGTAGCTAATTTCATATAGGGTTTGAATTGGGGCTAGGGTTCATGGGTTCTTGAGGGTGTGAATTTAGTTTTTTGAAATTCAATTAATTTTCTGGAACATTGTATGAGACTAGTCATAATTGTCTATATGAATTTGATCACCTCATATATGAATTTCTGGATTTAATTCAATTCTTGTCTATGAGAAATTGAGTTAAATTAGCTCGGATCTTGTACAAGCAATTTGATCTTAGAAATAAGTTAGGATTGTGAAAATATGATTTAATTCTTGTCTATGAGAATTTATTTCATTTTCTTTCCAGGAGTAATTGAGAATTAATTAACTTAATTCTAATCCCGAAAGAACACCCAGAACCCGAACCGTCCAATTTGAACCCTGTTTTAATATTCTGAATCAATTTACTTATTTTTTTCATCTATTTATTTTTGCACTTGCTGTTAGTTAATTTTTTTAATCACCCATAAAAAAGAAATTATTCGGAAAGATTACCATGACTTGTGCTAGCCTGTGATCACAGATTGTATTTAAAACTTCCTTTTTGCCACTCCTTGAGAGACGATACTCGTGGTCTGGTTATTCTTCGGATTAGCCAACTACGTTTTACTCACTAAAAAAATACACCGATCAAATGGCGCCGTTGCCGGGGAGTGGCACGGTTGTTTGTTAAGTACTTTTCTGTGGAATAGGTAAAAGCAAGTCGGTGAGACTTTCTATTTTTTTTCTGTTATTTGTTTGTCGTTTTTGGTGTTCTTTGCACGTGAACTAAGCTGCAGGAACTAGTGTATGCGCACTCGCTCCTCGGAGGAACAAGATTTAATTGCAGGTTATTCTGATCCTGAGCGCTTATTCCGAGGACGAGCTAAAAGGCGTTTGCTAGAAGACTTGGAGAAAATGGCCGATCAGACAACTCTAGAGACGCTGACGCCTAATTATGTGGCGAGAAATAGCATTGGGGCACCCACCATTGAGGCCAACAATTTTGAAATCAAACCGGCCATGATCCAGATGCTTGCTAATAATCCATTTTGTGGATACGCCCATGAAGATCCAATGGAGCATATTGAGAGCTTTATTCAGACTTGTGCCACGTTCAAATATAACGGGGTATCCAGCGAGGCAGTGAGGTTGACTTTATTCCCATTCTCTTTGAGAGACAAGGCATCGCGGTGGCTCCGTAGCTTTCCAAACGGGCATTTTGATACATGGGAGAAACTTCATCAAGCATTTATGCAGGAGTATTTTCCTCCCTCTGCCGCTATCAAGGTTCAGACAGAAATTCTCAATTTCACTCAAGCTCCGACCGAGACATTCAGTGAAGCATGGGATAGGTTGAAGATGTTAAAAAGGAAATGCCCTGAAACATTCATGAATGCAGCCACAATTATGTGCAGATTTTATAATGGTCTTCGGCTGGAGTATATGAGAGAACTAGACCGGGCAGCTCAGGGGGGTATGTTTCTAAAATTATCCCCACAGGCGGAAGAGCAAATAATTGAAAACTTGGCTTCAAATGACAAGTATTGGTATGCGGGTAAAGAGAGAGCTCAAAATCCACCCGGTTTGCTCAATCTTGATCCCATCACTGCACTTACAGCGAAGATTGAGGGGCTGGTAGTGGAAGTGAAAGACTTGAAGGCGCAGACCTCTCAACAGCAGCAAGTTCATAATATTGGGGCATATCAGCCCTCTTATCCTATGTATTCTGCCCCACTTCCTGTTCGAACAAGCTATCCAAGCCCAACCGGCCAAGAACTCGCTTTATCTTGCGAGATGTGCATGGGAGCTCACCTCACTCACACATGTCCTCTTTATGTTCATAATCAGGCATCACCAGTGGTCCAGAATGTTAATTTCATGGACTATGGTCAAGGCCAGAGAGGAGGTGGACAATTTTTCAACAATCAAAGTCAGAGGGGAAACTTTCAGCAAGGAGGAGGCTCATGGAGACCTGAAAATCAGAATCAAGGGCAGCGGAATGCCCCTAATTTTCAAGCAAATTTCCAGAATAGAGGCCATCCAAACCAGCCCGCTTATGTCCCGCCTCATCAAAGACAGCTTGAGCAGCCTCCTGTAAATGCAGCGCTAGAGAAAACAGTGGCTGAATTAGCCAAAAACCAAGCAGAGATGCACCAGCGTTTTAGCAACCTTGAAGCTCTTATCCGCCAGCTTGGCTCAAGTGTTTCAAGAGACCCGGGCAGCCTTCCGAGTTCAACAGAACCCAATCCAAGGGAGCAAGTGCAGGCCGTTACGCTACGAAGCGGGAGAACACTTCCAGAAGTTTCTACTCCGCCAATGCCTCAACAAGATGATGACCAGCAGCTTCAAGGCCCCAAATCCCATGTTGAAGAACCAGTGGCTACCCCTATTCCAGCCAAGAGTGAAGAAGTCCAGAATGAAGAAGCTCAGAAGAAAAAGGAGAGTAAGAAGACTCCACCCCTTCCGTTCCCTACACGGGTGAAGAGAAACAACGATAACACGAACTTGATCAGATTCATGGAGCATCTGAAGCAGCTCCATATCAATATGCCATTCATGGAAGCATTGACAGAGATGCCGAGGTACGCGAAGTTTCTAAAGGACCTCCTCATGAAAAAGAGGAGGTGGGAAGAGCCCGAAGTTGTGGATCTCAATGCAGAATGTTCAGCAGTTGTTCTGAAGACCATGCCTCCGAAACGAAAAGATCCAGGGAGTTTTCTTGTACCTTGTTCTATTGGAAATTTTAAGTTTAATAATGCTTTAGCTGATCTGGGAGCGAGCATCAATTTGATGCCTTCCTCTGTGGTCATGAAACTTGGCTTGGGTGAACTTAAGCCCACTCGTATGAGCCTCCAGCTAGCGGACCGATCGGTGAAATACCCGAAAGGAATTCTAGAGGATGTATTAGTACGAGTGGACAAGTTCATATTCCCTGTCGATTTTGTGGTCATGGACATGGAGGAAGATCGTGAGACGCCACTTATTTTAGGGAGGCCCTTTCTGGCTACTGCTAGGGCCCTTGTTGATGTTGCTGATGGTTCACTTTCTCTGAGAGTTGGAGATGATGTGTGTACTTTCAAACTCTCAGAGGTGACGGGTAAGGCCTCAGACCCCACTGAATCATGCAATTATGTTGATATGTTTGAGTCAGTGGAGGGGTATTTGTTTGGAGGCGATAGTGATATTACCCCACCAGATAGTGACATTCATTATATGGGGGATGTTGTTGCCAGAAATGAAGAAGAAATGACTGTTGATTGCGAGCAGGTGATTAGGGATGATGTTTTCCCTGAGTTGCTTACTGAGTTTGAGGAGCAGTCCACTGATAAGGTTACTCCTAAACTCAAACCGCTCCCTAGTCACCTGGAGTATGCGTTTTTGGACACAGAGGGCCAGCACCCTGTTATTATTTCAGCTCAGTTAGAGTCGGGACAAAAGGAAAAATTGGTGACATTTATGCGTTGTTATGATAGCTATCTTTAAAAAGTTTATTGGTGACTTTAAGGAGGTTCTAAGCCTTGAGCCAGGTTAGGAATGAGAATCTTTGTCAAGCTAGTGACGTTAAAGAAGCGCTTTTGGGAGGCAACCCACTAAAAAAAAAATTAACAAAAAAAAAATAGAATTAAGAGTTTATTATTTCTTGTTTTTGCATTTTTTCCCCTTTGTTTTTGTGATTTCGTCTTGTGGTTTTGTGGTTGGATTTCTTTGTTGAATTGTAGGTGCTGCATGGTGATCATTGACTGGTCTTGATGAAGAAACGTTCTGTGTTGATGGGGCTATTCAGCTGCTGCAGTTTCACATCAGGTCATTGAGCTGAATTCGTATTCAAGACCTGCACTTGCTCAAAAAGTGAAGATTTTGACAGACTGAGGGAGATTCTTGATGACGCCACATGCTGATTTTTTTAGGACTAGAGCAGCTGGCCTTTGAGGTGCAGATGGAGGAGTTCCAGTAGCTCTCTTTCGGACGGAAAGCAAAATTCGTACTTAGTACTTCTGGGAACAACATTTTGCACAGGAGACATAGAGTTTCAAGCTCCTTTTAGCTTGAAAAGACACGGGACCAGATCTGTTTAGCGGGTTCTTCACTTCCTCATGAGGAGTAAACCTCCATGGTAGCAGCCAGAACGCGAGCTAACCCACCGGGCAGCAGTTCACACATCAAGTTAGGTCGTGGGTCACTACCTTGACCTGTCTTCTTCTCCCACGAATGAACTGGCCAGCCTCAGTAAGTATTATTGCAGCATTCCAGTGGCAGGATTCAGCGGCCTCTACACGTCTAGGAGAGTCATTCCAGTTCGATGATCATAGTTTTAGGCACACTACCAGATTTTCCACCACAGGAGATCGAGGAAGCATCAAATGCAGAGTCTTAAAGTTATTCTGTGTTGACATATCACCACCAGAGACCGAGGAGCTAGTTGATGCGGAGATATGAAGTATTCTGGAGGTTATTCACCATCGTTTGGCTTGTACGGTAATCTGCCAACTTTTACTACGCTGCTAATAATGTGTGTTTACTCTCATATTACTCCTTTGTTGAATTGTGTTGATTATTATTCTGATTATGATGTGCTGCCGGGCTGAAAATCATTTTATTCTTAAACTTGCCCCTGTTATTTCTGTTTTGATCTTTTCTTTGACCTCGAGGGCGATGTCACCCCTAAGTGTGGGGAGGTTTGCTTGTAGCTTGGACATGACATTTGGTGATGAAGTTATTCTGCCCAAAAACATTTTGAGGTGCACGAGGTTTTTTCTGGTTTAGCAACGCAACAGAGGTAACTTGTTAATCTTTATTTTCTTTTGTAAACTTCCATCTCCTCCATCTTTCTTGGAAAGAATTAGTAATGGTGTAAACATCGGGGTGGTGTGTATGTTCGTGGGAAATGTTGGCATGTTGGATGGTTTGATTTGTGTTGATTAAATTCGGTTTTACTCGTGATTCACTAGTTCGCATTGATAATTCCTTGACTGGCCAAGTGTTGAAAATCCTTACTCCGTAAGGAGCTCTGCTTTCTAAGCATATCGGGATAACTTCATGCTAAGCAAGTAACTGATTCTTGTAATGGGGTTACACTTCATGTGTCGAGAATTTCATCCCTGAAATGGGGCTCTGCTCATCTCGCGAATCACCCTGTGTGAGAGTTGAGTACACAGTAATGAGATAAACTCCCAGACCCTAGAGCTTGAATCAGTCTTGTAATCCAGAACCTGGTCAACTTTTCTTATTAAAAAAAAAACAGAATCACGAGTATACCGGTTTTTATCACACAATTCTTGGGTTTTTGGAATAATTTATGGTTTGGATTTTACACACCTACACCATTGGGACCATCATGCTTTTCTTTACATTTTAGTCGGTTGGAGAGGAATTTTACTTTTGAAAATATTGTTTAACATGTAAATCTTAGTTTTGTTGTTAAAGAAGAAAAGCCCTTGTGCAGTCATTTGTTTTGGGTGTGAATGATTTCTGAACCAGGTGTTACATGTGATTATTTTGTTTTCCGTGAGTTTAATGCACTGTTGCTTGGGGGCAAGCAACGCTCAAGTGTGGGGAGATTTGATAGGCCCGTTCCGTTCCTATCTTTTCACCCATATTTTGGGTGTTAATTGTCTAATTTTTATAATTAATCGGGTGACTATTGGGGGTTTGATTGAAAATTTGTTATTTTTCGGTCCCGGTGGCATTCATTTTCAGTTTAGTAGTTTTCCACACAATTTGACATTTTTGGAGTAATTTGATTGTTAAATTGCATGTTATTAGCGAGTATAGTGAGTTGTGACTTTACAGACTGAAGTTTGCGGTGAATAACACATTTTTGTTAAGGCCCGACAATGAGAGGACTTTTGCTAAATATTGGGCTCAACCCAAATGAAAAAAGGGACAGCAGCACCAACTAGCAGCCCAAAAAGAGAAAAAGATGAGCTGAGTTTTAATCCCGAGAAAAGGAGCCGCAGGAGCAACTTCTATTCCATTCATTCTCCTTATCTTCACAAAAACGCAACAGTTAGAAGACCAAGCACCTGCAATTTTTCTTTTCTGTTCATTTAGCAACAAGCAGTAGGTAGAAATTTTTCCTTTCGTTTCTGGTCAATTAGCCGCAGCAAGCCTCAAGAATCTGGGAGGGCTCTAAACTTCACTTTTCTTTCAATTGCTTCCCTTCTAATTTAGATTTTGAGCAAGTATTGTAAGTTTACTCATCATTTACATCATTAGTTCTTGAATTTGGATTGAATTTCGAATATGTTTGTCTCCAAGTAGTAATTTCAGATTTTCCATTAAGTACTCATAATCCAGTTTTTATCTAGCTCCTTATCATGCTAATCAATATTATTGTGATGTTAATTTTAATTATGAGTAGCTAATTTCATATAGGGTTTGAATTGGGGCTAGGGTTCATGGGTTCTTGAGGGTGTGAATTTAGTTTTTTGAAATTCAATTAATTTTCTGGAACATTGTATGAGACTAGTCATAATTGTCTATATGAATTTGATCACCTCATATATGAATTTCTGGATTTAATTCAATTCTTGTCTATGAGAAATTGAGTTAAATTAGCTCGGATCTTGTACAAGCAATTTGATCTTAGAAATAAGTTAGGATTGTGAAAATATGATTTAATTCTTGTCTATGAGAATTTATTTCATTTTCTTTCCAGGAGTAATTGAGAATTAATTAACTTAATTCTAATCCCGAAAGAACACCCAGAACCCGAACCGTCCAATTTGAACCCTGTTTTAATATTCTGAATCAATTTACTTATTTTTTTCATCTATTTATTTTTGCACTTGCTGTTAGTTAATTTTTTTAATCACCCATAAAAAAGAAATTATTCGGAAAGATTACCATGACTTGTGCTAGCCTGTGATCACAGATTGTATTTAAAACTTCCTTTTTGCCACTCCTTGAGAGACGATACTCGTGGTCTGGTTATTCTTCGGATTAGCCAACTACGTTTTACTCACTAAAAAAATACACCGATCAGTGGCTCAATGCAAGAAGCAGAAGACTGGTGGCGAATGAAAGTGATCCCTGGCAAGGACCTATCAGAAGCCATCAGAAATTATCTTGATTGCAAGCTTGAACCTGCCTGGTCAGAATGTCAGAATCCAAGGAACCTGGCCTCCATCAGAGCAAAGGTAAATGCTGATCTGAAGGAAATTGAAGCAAAGGAAGCTGAACTAGAAGAGGAAGATATCTAAACCTTATCCTCTTGTTGCTTTTAATACTCTTCCTTAATAAGATAACCAGCTTGCCTCTATTTTGCATGGCAATTTCAAATTATTTCTATTTGCAATCTGATTATTTATGCTCTGATACCTTGTGTAATTTCCTATCTTACTTATCTGATTGATTGTATCTTACTCTTACTATTTTCCTATGCCAAGTGCCCACCGAGATTCTAAATGAAAGTCTTTTTCTTATTTTCCTTCATGGTGAAAGGCACTTCTCTGGAAATAGTTTAAGGGTTTTGGCATCATCAAAAAGGGGGAAATTGTAAGGAATAAATGTAATTAGATTTTGATGATGCTAGGTTATTTAGATTAGAATTTTAAAGTACCCCCAAATTAGATTTAATGTATTAGTATTTTCTGATGTAAGTATTAGTATAGTCGACGATCAGAGTTGCTCGCTTGTGGATCTGATCAGAGTTGCTCTATGAGAACTGTCCTCAGAGTTGCTCGCTTGTGGATCCGATCAGAGTTACTCTCAGCAGTTCATGAGAATTGATCATCAGAGAAGCATCAGAGTTGAATGTATAGCTTCATCAGAACTCAAGATCAAAAAGCATCAGAGTTCTCTCTTCAGAGTTCGACTAGAAGCTTCATCAGAATTCAAGATCAGAAAGCATCAGAGTTCCCACACCAGAGCTCGACTTGAAACTATATCAGAACTACTCCTCAGGAAGCCATCAGAATCCAACGTAACAGAAGACTTCAATCAGAGTCCGACTAACACTTAGAAGATTTCAAGCAACATCCAACAGCTATGAGTTCAACGGGTATAACATCCAACGGCCAGAAGACTGTGCATGGAAGGAAAGCATTTAATGCACATTAAATGAGCCTGATACGCTTTGGATTTATTGCAAATGATTGACCGAGAAATCTGGAAGATATATTATAAAAATAGAAACCTTCCAAAACGGCGGTCAAGTCAACAGTACGCGCATTTAATGCAGTTGTCTCCTCCTCCAACGGGCAGACAACCTCAGTATATAAGCTACACGAAGAAGAACAAAGGAAGGAAACTTTTGCTCTGAACTTCATACTACAAGCATTCTTGAGATTCAAACTCCACAACACAAAAACAAAAAAAAAAGCTTACGTTGGGAAGATTCAACCTCACAATCTCTCATCCCCAACAAGAGCAAAGTTCATCCTGTTCTTCAACACTTCAAGATCTTCATCTACATATCTTTTGTAACGAAGCAAGTTGGAGAAAACTCTGTTTTCAAAACATCTTCTGCAAAGAAGGGCGTCCAAGTAACTGCAGCAGTGAAGTGGTGATACTTCCGGGAAGTTGAGTGAAAGGATCAGTCATCAGGAAGCAGGACTGCATCCCGGGTGACATCTAGACTTGAAGAAGGCGTGGAGAACTTCTTAAGTGCTAGGGACTAAGGCGTTGTAATTGATCCTTACAAGCTTAGTGGAACAGTGGACTAGAGGAACGAGTTGTTCCTTGAACCACTATAAAAACTCCGATGTCATTTACTTTACGCATTTATTTACTGCACTTAGGATACTAACTGCATAACTCTAAGACTTGGTATCTGTGTTCAGCAGATCTTGTTTTCAGAATTATCAGAAAGGCACTTGCCTTAGTGTTTCTGAGGCTACCCGGAATTCTTATCCGCTGCAAGACCAGTTCTGATCATCAGAACTCGACCCTCTCTGATAAGTCAACTCTGACTTAGAGAAAAGTTGAAAAACTTGAATCAGTCTATTCACCCCCCCCCCCCCCCCCCTCTAGACTGATTGCCAACTCAAACGGGACCAACATAAATATAGTTTGAAATCTTCAAACGCTGCTTGACATTCGGCTGTCCATTCGAACGGGTTGGCCTTCTTCATAATCTGGAAGAATGGGATCGCCTGATCGGCCAGTGTGGCCAGAAATCTGCTCAGGGCGGCTAGCCTACCAGTCAGCTTCTGAACCTCTTTCAAATTTCTCGGGGCCTCCATATCCATGATTTCTTTGACTTTTTCAGGATTCGGCTCAATTCCTCGCTCTCTCATCATGTACCCCAAGAACTTGCCCCCCTTGACTGCAAAGGCACATTTCTTGGGGTTCAGCCTCATGTTCGCTTTTTTCATGATTTCAAACACCTTTTCCATGTCCTGCACATGGTCTTCCTTCTTTTTGCTTTTGATCAGGATGTCATCGACATAGGCTTCCATGGTCACTCACAGTACTTCCTTGAAGAGCATCCCGATCATCCTCTGGAAGGTAGCCATTGCATTCTTCAACCCGAACGGCATGACTATGTAGCAAAACACGCCATCCGAGGTGACGAATGCAGTTTTTTCTGCGTCATCCGGGTGCATGAAGATCTGGTGATACCCTCTGAAGGCATCCATGAAACTTTGTTACTCACACCCGGCTGTCTCGTCCACCAGCAAATCAATCCTCGGCACAGGATAAGGTTCCATGGGGCATGCACTGTTTAAATCAGAGTAGTCCACACACATCCTCCATGTGGACCCCTTCGGGGCAAGGACCACATTAGCTAACCATTCCACATGAATGACGGGCCTAATGTGCCTTATCTTCAGTAGCATGGCCACCTCCTGTTTCGTGAACTCCCTCTGTTCAGCCGCATGGTGTCTCTTCTTTTGCTGTATCGGCTTGGCGTCGGGCCGAACGGCTAGTTTGTGGCAGATGAGTCCTGGATCAATCCCCGGCATATCCCCAGGCCCCCTAGCAAATAGGACCTGGAACTTCTTGAGTACTGTCACCACCCCTCCTCTTATTTCCTCCTCCAGATCCATCCCGATCGCTATCTTTCGATCAGATGGAGAGTCAAGTTCGATATATTCAAGGAGGGTGGCAGGTTTTGGGTTTCCCTCGACCTCCGTCCGCCGTGTTGGCGTGTCAATGCTGTTCACCCGCATCCCGCGGGTGTTTATCTTCTTCAGGGCCTCCCTGTAGCAAGCTCGGGCTGTGGCCAGATCCGTTCGGGCCACTCCTACACCAGTATCAGTGGGGAACTTGATGCAAGAATGCCGGACGGAGGTTATCGCCTCCAAATCCTCCAGACCTGGTCGACCCAGTATGGCATTGTGGGCGCAGTTGATGTCTACCACCACAAACGTCATACGCACCGCTGCTCGGTGTGCTTCATCCCCAATTTCGACCAGAAGCTGGATGGTACCCTCAGCCTCAATGCAGTTGCCTGTGAAGCTAGCCAACAGCGTCTTCAGATTGGTCAGTTGTTCCCGCTTGAGTCCCATTCTCTCGAACGTGTGTAGGTACAACACGTTCACACTACTCCCTGTATCCACCAACACTCGGCGGACCAGGGCGTTGTCAACGCACATACTTACCACCAATTCGTCCCTGTGCGGACTTGGTGAGCTGGGTAGATCAGCCACCCCGAACGTTATCGGCTCCATTCTTTCTTTCTTCTGGGGTCGGGCAGACACGGTGGCTACGTATAATCCTCGCTCAAACCTTTTTCGTTCGGCGTTCGTGTCCCCGGTTTCTCCCCCGCCAAAGACGACCTTGATTTCCATCCTTGGTTTCTTCCCAGGATTCCCCGAACCCTCTGCCTCATCCCTGGGTGGGACGTATGCATCATTTCTTGGCTCAGCGTCACGCTGGCTATCTCTCTTCCAGCTATTGGGCTTCTTGTTCTGACGCTGGTTCGGGAGATGGACGTTCGGGTTGGTGCTTACGTACTTTCTCAAGTACCCTTGATGGATCAGATCTTTAATCGCAATCTGCAAAGCTCGGCAGTATTGCGTATGATGCCCACTGTGTTTGTGATATTTGTAGTATGCGTTGTGATCCGATCCCATGAAGACCTCTGGATCGGTCGGGGGGGATGGTATCCGACTCCTGATTGAACACACGATCAATGCTCATGACAAGGAGGGTAAACTGCTTAACCTTCTGACAGTGGGGTGAAGGTGCCGGTGTGGGGCCTAGTCGATCCGCCAACCTTGTGGTAGGTTGAGGGCCCGTTCGGTCCCGTATCTTGATCTCTTCTTCTAGGGCCGCATGGCTCCTGGCCCTTTCCAGGACATCCGGGTAACTGGCTCCCGGATTCCTCTTCAGTTCCCTATATAAATCCCCAGTCTAAAGGGCGTCGGTGAACAGAAGGATGGCTGTTTCGTCTGTCATGCCGGTCACCTTCAGAGTCTCCGTCCTCCACCTGGTTAAGAAACCGGTGATTGATTCCTTGGGCCCCTGCCTTATACTGGTCGGGTATCCAAAATGCAGCTTCGGGGTGGTGCTGGAAGCGAACTGTGCTAGAAACAAAGTGGACAGTTCTGCAAAGCTCCCGATCGATCCGGATTGTAGTGTCCCGAACCACTCCTGGGCTGGTCCTCGGAGAGTACTGAAGAACAGCCTGCATATTGCGGCGTCAGTGGCCCCGAGGAGCATAAGCCCACCCTGGTAACTCCTCAAATGTACGTGGGGGTCCCCCACTCCATCGTATGTCAGGCCGGCCGGGGGCCGGCAGTCCCTCAGAATTTCTGCATTCATGATCTCCCTTGTAAAGGGAGAAGTGATTCCAACCCGCGCTGGCGGGGTTTGTTGGGGCGTCCGATTAACCTGCTCTCTGAGCTCAGCCATTTGCCTCCTCATTTCGGCAATTTCTTCGTCTTGTACCGTTCGGGGGGTTTGTGGCATCCTTGCCTCCCTGAACTCTGGCATCCTGTTCGGGGGAGGGGCTGCTGTGTTAGCCCTCCTCCGAATGAAACGTTCCCCATCCCTCTGGACATACTGGAAGTGTTGTCCA